ATAACTTCTGGGTGAAAATCACGGAAAAACCAAAAATTAGAAACTTGCATAGAAATGGCGCCTGAAACTAGATCATACACATGTATATCACACCCGTTTTCGGTTTTATGTTGCTGTAAGAATGGTAAGCTTATAATTCAGCACAGATTAGATAGAATATGCATTTTGTCATTTTCATAAATTTTGATCGAACTCTGGTCCTTTCTCATTATTTTGGCAGATTTATTGGAAATTTCAAATTACAGAATATTCATGAATGTTCGAAGTAAAGGCAGTGACTTTATCACTGTTTCATTAACATTTTCTTTGAATTGAAAATTAAAAAAAATGAAACAGAAAAAAATTTGGGCATAAATATCAATTAACTTTGAATATTAGAATAATTGTTAAGTTCTTCCATATTAATTTCATTACTTCTCATTTTTTTCATCTTGCAATATTAATTACACATTATGCAATAAATATTGTCTTGCAGTAATTAATCATAAACGAAGTGAATTTTCATTTTCATTATTTTTTCAGCCTAAATTCTACCAAAAATTTGAGCAACAGAAAAAAAAAACTGTAATAATAAAATTACAACTTTAAAATAATCTCAAAAAGTATGAGATTAAAGTAATCGTTTCTTGTTGCAGATAACAATGTTCCATGCAATAAACATAAAACAGTGCTAAAATTTATTATGAAAAAAAGAAGAACAAAAATATCGTGGCGAACGGTATCACTGTATTAATTCAGAAAAAAAAGCACAAAATTGTCAAGCAGTATTGGGTTGCTATGAAGTTCGTTTAGCTCAATCTAATCTCATCAAAAACCATGGACTTTCAGTTGAGCTAAATAACGTGAAACATATGTCAAATTCATCGGTAACTTTTAATAATTGACGAGAAACTTATCAAACTTATCAAATATAAATTACAAATTAGTTGGAAACCGTTAACTGAAGGCTGAAAAAAAATGTCACGTAAAATGAAAAAAGTTTACGCTTGAAAAATGAATTATATAAATTTTTTTTAAAATGCATTGGTATTCGAAGCATAAACGATGCAGTTTTGTTTTAGCTTATTAGAAAAAATTATAGTAAAAATAATATCTCATGTAAAATTTTTTATCCATTAAATCTTCAGAGTTA